AGCAGGGGTCTCCACACGGCTGCTCCAGCACCCAGGGCTGCATTGGGATAGGTCCATGTAGCTTCTCCTTGGGGATGTCTTGTAGGAAGTCAATCTTGCAAGCTGAAGCAGGGAACTGCTTAAGGCAGCTGCACCCGGTGCAACCATCACAAAACAAGAGACCCGAGAACTAGAAAGGCGAGACTTCACCACCCATTTATCCCTCCGCCTTTCAACCAGCCCCACATGTGATTATCGGCCAGGCTGGCACAATTAACTAACTCAGCCTGGTAGCCCCTTCACTGGTCCACTCTCAGGAATTTTGTTCTTAGAACCTGATGGTGCACGCCCCTGCTGGTCACCACTAGCACTCTCCTCTCAACCCAAGACAAGAAAGAGCTCCTCTGAAATGGAAGCATGATGGCATTGGTAAATTAGGTTCAGCATATAGAGGAAGAGGCAGGGAGAGTACTCAATTAGATAGATTCCTGCTCAGTAATAAGCAAACGAGTTCAAGAACTGACCTCAAGATTACAGCTATGAGGCTGAAGCTTTGCTTAGGAAACTACCCTGTCCAGGACTATGACTAGTTTAGGATCTCAATCTGAGGCCAAAATTGGACCTCAATGGGAAACTGAAGTCTGGGCTCAAGTGTCAGCATAGGAGTATGCCCACAGGAGGCGATCAGCCTGTATCCAGAGTAAGGAATGGATCAAGGTAGCGCGTTCATCCCCAGGTGAGACCACCAGGTATGGAGAACAGGAGCAGGGAGGTTACCCAGGGGAGAGGTAGGAGGGGTGGGAGTGAATGAAGGAACACTAATCTCTAAGGATCTCCTAACTTGGAAAGTGACAAGGGGCAACCTGACATTCCCTTTCTCTTTAGAAAATGGACCTCATCATTCTGGTTCCAGCTTCTTGTATGTAAGCCCCAACTTCAACCCTGGAACCACCACCACAGACACATCATAGGTACATCTGGGGACAGGGGGAGCCCAAGGGCCAGTCCTACAGCTGCAAAGAGCTAACAACTGTGGGGGTGGTCTCCTTCCCCCCACCCTCCCCAGGATGCTCTGTTTCTACTGGCAATGGGGCCTGGCATCCTCCCACACCCAGATCTTAGCAACCGTGGGAGCCCCTGGCAACTGCTGCCATGGTGACAAGACAGGGACCTGAGAACAGGCAGGGGGTGCACTTCCTCTGGGGCTCTCCGGATGTGCGAGATAAGTGCTCCCCCTCCCCCCCCACTCCATACACAGTCTGGGAGAGAACATGTGCTCCTGTCTGAACACCTCCTCATGGGACCCACCCTCGGGCCTGCCCACGGGTTCCGGTTCCCTCAGGGTGAGGAAATGAGGGACACCTCGGGTTGTGACGTCTCCTTGGGAAGGAGGGTGCTTGGAACTGACTTGATCACAGATGCCTGCAGACACAGTATCGGCTTGTCAACAGCCACACGCCCCATCTACTCTTTGTCATGTCGGCACGGGCCTACAGCCATTTAACCACCCCTAGACAGCGACACACAAGAGAACCACACACCGCAAATGACAGAAGTGGGCACACAAAAGCCATCACAGAGATGAGCCCTCATTCACAGATCGCATGCAGACAGAGAGTACAAATAACTCACAATCCCGTTTGCACACAGAGATGCACAGGCACACCCAGACATCTGTGCGCATACAGTCACGGCTAGCATTTGCTCAGCTTTAACGACACCCCAGCCTGAGAACTAAGCACACTATGTGTGTTACCTTAATTAACCCTGACAGCAACTCCATGGGACAGGCACTGCTGCTGTCTCTCCCCATTTTACTAAGAAGATGAGACAACTATGCAGCAAGTAACCTAGCCAGGTCAACAATCTCTCTCCGGACAGAGCCTGTATTCCTCCCAGCCCTGCTGCGCTGTGTTCTCTGGTTCCTCCCACACCCCATTGATGCCTAGGACAATGAGATCAGGCAGAGCAACAAAGACCCAGACAGATCACAGAGACAACTTCAACATACCAATGGCGGGCACAAGCCCTGCCTGCCCCATCCAGGGACCAAGCCTACACTCCAGCACTAACAGGGGCCAGGTATGGAAGGGCTGCTGACTAAACCCTCTGCCTCCGTGTTGGCACAGGCAGGGTTGGAGGAGGCAAGAGAGGCAGAGTTGGAATAGGAAGAAGTGAAGCCACCCACAGGCCAGGCCCCCACCAGTCTGGAGGTGGGGAAGCGAGAGCCCTTGGATCTGAGGCCCCCTCCATTCCACCTTGCTCATCTCCATCTGACACTATTCTATTCCCTCATCTCTCCAACCCCTCTCCCCCTCGTCATGCTTCCTGCCCTCCTCTCCCATCCATTCTGCCCCCTGCTTACCGCCACCTCCCCTCCCTTCAGTTCTTGGTTGCCCACCCATCGCCCCTCCCCCTCCTCCAGTTCATCACCCCTCTTCTTCTATTCCAAGACTTCTCCTTTTACCTCCTCATCGCACCTTCCCTCCCTCCATCCTCCCCACCGCAATGTCATTCCCCGGACGCCCAGCACGCCCACACTGAATGGGGAAAGCAGGCAGGTAGGGTGAA